GGGGGGGGGTGGGAATAGGGCTCAAAGAGAAAAAGACCTGAAAAATGAAGAAGGGGCGTTGGACGAATTATACAATGTGTGTCATGGCGTACGTGTGGGTTCTGGTGCGAATAGCTGACGACAGCAAGCAAAATGGCCTTGAAATGCATTCACTCAAAGCATGAGTTAACAAAAACGCTAGTGACAGCAAATAGCCCGCCTTTTTCAGCCTCTTGGGGCAGGAAATTAGAAAACGAATTGCAGCAGCGAAAAGAATAAGAGACAATAAAAGAATATAGGAAGAGCATCGCCCTTCAATCGGCGATCAGCTGATTCTGTGTCTTAGAACGAATATTGCAATCTGTATCTCCTCGACACTCGACTGACGTGACATCGTTCGAGGCGCAGGGCATCCAGGCTCCCACGGGTGCGCTTCGTTGCGCGTGTCCGTCGAAACTAGGTCACGCCGCAGCCGTCGCAGGCGGCGAGTTGGCCCGCGATATTTGACAGACGTCGCAATTGTCACTGAGGCATACGCTTTGCGTTTGGTCCACGGCAGTCAGTTCAAGAAGAAGATAACACAGACAAATGCAAATCATCTGCTCCAATGACACTTGGTGTTACTGCAATGTCATCTCGAGACCTCAGTGTGATGCGCCGTGCGCGAAGTGGGCGGGGTGACCTACTTTCGACGGACACGCGCAACGGACGTTCTCCGAGCTCCGACTATGCCCTAGCTGTTCGGTACCGAAAGCGTCCTTCCTGTTACCTTTGGTGGCTACTGGGTATTCCCAGAGGGGAAACTCAGAAACCTTTTCATCGTGAACTGTGCCTTTGATATATATATATATGCATATGAAAATTGAAATTGATATATAAGAAAGCGGTTGCAATTCATACGAATTGACTGCAATATTACTAGCTGGGTGGAAAACCCTTTGATTTGACCTCAGGCTTGCACAGCCATTAAATATTGTGTTTGATTACATGATGTGCTCTAAAAAATTATTTTAAAAAACTGAGCTCTGAATATACTCGAGCCGACGTGTGCTTTTCAGTGATACCAAAACCGAGTCTGAGCTGTCTCTTCGTGGGAGACATGTATAATTTCGGCGCGAACGAGACGGCATACGATCAGGTCAATGCATAAAATTCTACTAGATAGACATATCAAATTTCCTTTTCTATAGAGATACAGAGTTGAGCAGCAAAGGGCTCTGACTCGAGTTTTTGAGATCATTGTTCACAATAAAATTGGTTAATAGTATTTTTCTGTGGGATGAACCTGTGACCCGAAAGAGCAGCAAAAGGGTCGCTATCGATTAGAAAAAGTGTCTAGATAGGTTAACTAAGGGCTTCACAATCGGCCTACGTGACGTATACACCCTAAGGCGTACGCATTCTCATGGCGTTGCAGAGGCTGTAGAAGATGGGGGGCGGGGGCATTCCTCCTCGCGGCATGCGGCAAATGTCACTGCAATCACCGTACTTGCCCCGCCTCTCCGCCAATCAGAAGGACGCAATATTATTCGTCGATTGCCTTTCTTTTTTATTAAAGTTTATCGTGTTTTTCTGCTTTTTTTTCGTTTTTACGTTTATTAGACTTGATTAATCAGAATGACTCCTCCTATGTTAGCGACGATCAAGACCGCATTGGAATTGAAGAGAGCGGCCAGCCAATTCAGATTAAAGGACTCCCTACCTCACGAATTGCTCGCTCCAATCTTCCATCGCAATTCTGCGATACGCGGCACGTATCTTCTCCGGCGTGTCGCTCTCGCCGCATGCGATCGCGCGCTATGAAGGGAAAGATTTGAATTCCCAATGGAAGGATACGGAGAGTCGCCTCCGACTCCGACTTTTCGAAACCCAGTAATTTACACGTTTATTGTAACAGAAAAAAAACGCGATCAGTAAAAAAACGGAACAGCTGAGAAACAAAAGACCTAACAAAAAGCCCACCAATGGCACAGAGAGAATCGGGGTAGGTCCAGCCGTGAAAGAAGTTGGCCACTTAGACCTTCCCTAATAGTCCCAAGCCTGCTTATCTCAAAACCACTGAGGTTCTTCCCACCAGCACTTATCAAGGGTGCTAGACTCGTCGGATGAGTCTCAAAGCAGAGAATCTACAAATTCCGTGGGGTTAGGCGGCTGGCAGCGAGCGACGATTATTTAATGAGGACTTCTCCTTCTCGAGGATTCCATTTTATATAGTTTTTCCCGCACCTGTTCTTTCCTCTGACATGTTTACAATTGCATCCCCTCCCGCCTAATCATCAGATCACTTATGCCTATCTGATCACCATCAGCCCATCGGTGTATTGATGCAAGAGGATTCCTTCTTTGACGGAATCCCACCTATGCAGTTCTCTCTGTCCCTTCCTGACAACGTCACACAACCCTCACCCAATCTCAAGCGTTTAAGGCTCTTTGCTCTATGAATCAGGTCTCATCGCTAAAGCCTTCCATTTCACCAAGACGTATTTTCAGTGTTTTACCTTGGTATGGGTTTGTATATGCGGAAAAAATGTTAATTGCACCAGCTCGGCTGTACTGCTATCAATTTGTTTGAAAGGCTACCTTCAGCCCTACACTCTTATACTCAACTAAACGAGAAAATAAACTGAGACATATCTATCGAAATGTCCACCAGTTGAGAATGATTGTGATTTATGTGGTTCCTTGTATTCGGTACATCAGACGATCCTTGGCCTTACTTCAAATAGGCCCTACATCAGAACTAAATCAGGGAAGATTATCTCAGGTATGAAAGTTTTGCAAAACGGCTTAGGCTTGAGGAGCACTTCCGTGAGCTGTAGGCAAGATGTATTGTCGTGCATTAGAGCTGTGTCACATGCAAGACGACCTATACCAACCGAAGACACTCTAAGCAAATAAAAAGGGAGGATGCCATGCCAGGCTAAACTTTGAGGTTTTCAGCTCATATCATGAGCGATGTCTAAGCATTACGATTCCGTAATGTAGGCTTACACGTGTCTGCACATCAAATGTGAAATGAACGTTTCCCGCATGCATAGCACTACTTTTTAAGGCTTAAAATGACTCGACTGTGCATTCCAATTCGTTTGAAAGATATATATGTATGGCATTGAATACGGATTTCTCTAAATTGTTCTTCGTTTCGTTTTAGGAAAGGAGTTTTATCAGGAGCACTAGCCAAATTTTATTCGCCGAGGGAAATGGATTTAAAGCAGGGTTATCGCTGTACGGATTCGCTGACACTGGTCAACGTTTTCCTAGCGCAGGACTTACCAGCATGTCAAGCACGTTCGCCAAATTTGACAATGACGCGACGGCAAGAATGACTTATGATGAGGATGAAAACGATGAAACAACAGGAGAGTAAGTTCTGAATATTTCCCAACTCATTCATTCAAAACATAACCAGCCGAATCGTCCGGTTTACGCAGAACCCTCCACTCACTCGACCTTTAACTCACGCAGAGTCCCCTCTACTGGCAGTTAGACAAACTGCTCAGTCATATAATACACTGATTTTTCTAGGATCCAAACGCAGGCATACATCTGTTTTACCGGTGTCCCGTTAATCATGGATCTCCTCGAGCGGGCGCCACTAACATCTCATTCGTGCCTCGATCCAAAGTTGTCCAGCGGATTGTCCCCGTTTGAGGGACATAACTTTAGTTTAGAGCTTTCGTGAAAGATTCTGACATTGCGGTGGCAGTCGTCATAGTGTTTGGTTACCTTCGGTCCCTTAGGTACTCAGTCAGCAACCGTCTTGGTATCACAATATCGCTCAACACTTTCGATCTTCATCATTTGCGACTCCTCCTGCGTAAGCAACTGCGTCCCCTTCCCCATTTACACAAACTTCCCACAGCAAATGACGCTGACTGCATGTTCACCATGCTTTCGTTGAGTTCAAAATCCAAAAAGTACTTCATAGCCGGAAGCTCAGCAGTGTTCCAAAGGCAAGTCGAGCTGAATGTTCTTCATCTTCTTCACTACTCCCTCGATACTCTTAAATTCTCCTTAACGCCCCCCCCCCCCCTTCTTCCTTTCCTCCTGCTTAGCTTTGATGCTTGGTCGTCCATCATCATCGTTGTTAGATGCCGAAATAAAATGATAAAATGCTGCGTTTTTGTCGGAATGCCTGCACATATATCTATACATACTAAGGTAGGCCCGTAACCATTATTACACACTTATCCTATGATCACGTTGTTTCAGTGCCATCAATTCAATCAATGATTACAAAGGAATGAGCGAAGTTAACTGCCTAATCTTCTTTTCGGCTCTGTAAGTTTGCGAAGTTACTCACCCTCATGTGTTCGAGACGATACTAGCTAAATGTGAAGAAAAGCGAGAAGACCTGAAAATTGTCTTGCAGGATGGACACAGCTGGCCTACCGGAGCTGACACCAACGTTGGCCCCAAATGCTAAAATCGTTGCAGTTGGGTTTAACGGTGAGTGCAACATAAACTCCCCATGAACACTACCGTATGTGATTTTCCATTTCGAGTTTATGCTTGTTCCAGGCACTGACTTAATGGGGATTGTCAGAACGAATGGGACCGCACTCAGCGTACCATATGCGTTTTCACCAGATGACGTTCAGAACGTTGTCCAAGCCGTACTCAGTTAGCTTCTGCATTACGGCTGCGTTGAGGGCCAAAATTTAATCCCTGAACTGATTTTGTGTACTTTTCACTTATTTAAGTGTGTCTTGTCTAAAGTACCTCACCTGCGAACAAATAAGTTGAACTCCTTATCAGCTTTAAAAAGCCGTCCTGCAGTACATGTAGGCAGAAGAGCAATGCGTGATCACCTGTGTTCATGAGCTTTGCCATGAAGTGCGCCCTTTCAAAAATTCTCGCTATCCTTGAGAAATGTAAATGTTGCTCTAGCAAGTATTACTGAAATGAGCAGAATAGTTGAAAGCCCGCTCGACTGTCATATAATCTCCTTTTTATGAATCCAAACTCTCTTTCCAGCTGTTGGGACTTTGATTTTTTTATGCACTAATTTATCGTTGGAATTGCCTCATTTGTAAAAATGTTTTGCGATGTTATTCTTTGTATAAAGAAAGCACCACGATCCCAGAAGGTGGGCGGGACTGCCTATGGAATTAGCTGTGATTCTGCCATATCACTTTCCTTCTGTAATGTTGTGTTTTCATGTCATGATGAAGTTAATGATCGTCTTTTTTACCTTACACTCAAGTAGCTAATTTGCTCGAGGAGCTCTCCAAGGTGACGTCTGATATGAAATGCTGTGTATCACTCAAATTGGAAAAGTGCGTCTGGCTATAAGAAATAAATCTATCATGATAGTCAATTGCAGAGATACCTCATGGATAGGTAGAGAAATTCCCTCCCAATGACCTACATCTTCAGCGCTGTAGGTTAGTGAAACGCGCGGCGTGTGGGCATGCCTGTTTTGACCAATCTCTTTGTTTAATAAAAATAATTCTGTGTTTATTAATGCTTAGCATTTTATCAGGTGCTCTATTGCAAGGTTCAGGTATTTTCCAGACAGGAGTTGTAGGAGTTTATACTGATCGCGGCCCCCTTGCCTCAGTCCCCCCCTTGTCCACACCCTGGCAAGATACTCGTGGGTATCCATATCCATCCGAAACACTAATATAATTGGGCCTCAATCTCCTGAACCTGAGGAAGTCTTCAATCCGGCGACGTTGAGTATCTTGCCAAGAGGCTCGGGGAAGGCTGCAAAATCTAATGGCCACAATAGGTTACCTAACAGGAGTAAGACTGAGATGGCGACCTCTACTTTCAAAGGGCGCTTGCATGCGGGTTTCGAGAATCAGATGTTGCAAGTCAGGAATATCAAGTACGAAGTCTCTGATTGAAGTCTCTGACCGGGACTAGAAGGCACTGCCCGTTGCACGATATTCTCGAAATTTGAGGAGGACTGGTTCCTGGAACACACGATAGCACAGCAGAGCAGAGCAGAGCAGAGCACCATGTCGACCCATACCATCCGCGCTAATTCGCAGTTCCAGAAGCCCTCTCAATTACGTAGAACTCGAGAGTTACCTAGTGGATAGGTTCATAATCAAATAGGTCGCATCACCTTCAATTGAAAGCTCTGGGCTGACATCGGTCGTCGTTCGAAGTTCTACACGGGGTCAAACCACCTTCTACTCAGCGCTAGATTCTGGGTTTCAGGGAGAGCTGCGAAGTTCAGGAAATGAAGCTGTTGTCAACAACTGGGATCGTTTCGCTTCACACGCGAGCTTGTGGGAATGTATTGTTGGCGACAATGTGGTGGAGAATAAAACCGGCTTGTCGAACATCATGCGCTACTTGGAATGAGAAGATCTAGGAGTGAAGGTCGACGGCCGCTACTCACATCACCTACGCTTTGCCGACAACATCGTGCTTAGAGCACCAAAAGTCGAGCAGGCGCAATAAATGCTAGCCTAGTTCGGTCACGCTTGTGGAAAGGTTCTCGACTGAAGCTGACGGCTTAACGAGGACGTGTTCATGAGAAATGGATTGGTATTTGTCTTTGAAGCTCGACGGAACGGAGATGAGTACGAGTTAGTGTCTTCATTCTCTCAGAAGAGTTTGGTTTACAATTCATCCGAATCAAACGACGTCAGGCATGTTCGGCAGGGGAATATCAAACCTGAATTCGATTTCTAAGCAGGTGTGTGAATAGTGGGGCATCTGCCACAACACCTCTTCCTCAAGATCAGCATAAAATTTTATATTCGAAACTGTTGAGACCAATTAGAATATACACCTGTATTTGGCGTTTCATTCAAGAAAGTGCATGGAAAATGAATAATAAATGTTATTACGTTGGCTTTTTTTACGCCCTATCACACGCTAACTTGTGACTGCTTCCCTTCAGGTATGATCCTGCCAAAAGACGCCTTCCGTTTCATTTGATAAATTGTCTCCCATTTCAATCGGATATAAATCTACAGGATCTGAACGTTATTTCACGGGTCTCTTTCCGTGGGCGTTTCCTCTCATTGAAGGGTTGAGTTGGTTGGTGACGAGACTACGTGGCGGGCTCTGGATGGTGAGTAGGAAATAATAAATCGCGGACCAAAAACACCAGTAACACCAGAGACGCAAGTTGACCCGGAGTTTGAACTATCTGTTTCTACTGTGCTGCGTCGATTCAAATCTTGTGCCTCCTCACAGGTGTATCCATGCACGCGTGCTTGGATAGTCTGGAGTTGCAGTTGTCCGTTGAGGGTAGCCTGGCTAGATATCCGGCGTCTACTAGCTACCAATTCAGAGCCTGGCAAGCTACTCGTCCGTACCTTATCCAAAAACAGTTTTATAGGTAGGCTCCACTCTCAGGACCTGAGTTAGCCTCTGATTTAGCAGCGCCCGAAGAACTGCTAGGTAGATGTTGGTCAAATCTCAGGGGCCAGAACAAGCTGTCCGAAAGGAGAACGGCTCAAATGGCGACTCGTTTTTTCAATGCACGAACGCTTGCATCGGAGGCGTGCTACTAGTATCTGGTTGTGCAAGCCATGAAGATCACTTACGACGCCAACGGACTACCGAGAGGAAAAGGCATCACCCGTGCAAGCTGTTTTTGAAACTGAAAAAGAATTGTATCTGGAACATTCGACAGCACAGGCAACTGCGATGTAGGTATCCTCGTCAATATGGGCTTCGTCGTGATTGTTTCGAAGGAACATTTGACACTCCGAATGGGATACTCGAAATTCAGAAGATGAGATTCGAGCCCAGTTTCAACGAGAAATCGGATTCGGTTGACATGGACCTGAAAAAGCACTAGAGAGACGATCCCACTTTTTTCGAGGTCATCGTCGTTGATTTCAACGCTATGACTTTCCCGAGAAAGACGGCTAAATCGTTTCATATCAGGACTCGTGGAGCGAGATATAATGCAGGCAGGGCTTGGAAAGGTTTCAGTACAATCACATCCACACTATCACGAGACTCATTATCGTATTGCGAGATACACGATGCCAATTTGTCTGACCTTCATCAATTCGAAGAAGGCCTCTAATTGTCGAAACAGAAAGGGTAATCGAAGCCTAGAGCGGGCGAGGTGTATTTAGTTAATAGGTAAGGATGCCTTGTAGGCTCTGCGATAACTTCGTGACTGGTGTTTCACCATTCTATGAGGACATCATCATCATAGTGAAGATAAGGGTACGACAGAGCGATACCACCTAACCAAAACGTTTTAGTGCCGCTCTTAAGAACATGGTGCGTCATTTGGAATGAGGAGATTCGAGAGTGAAGATGGACAGGCGCTACATCAAAAAGATTGACTTACGACTGAACCTAGCGAAGACTATTTTATGAAAAACAGAGTGGTGCATGATGCTCCTTTCACGCATCACGAGTCTAGGTCGAGAATTCAACATGATGAACGACACAGCTACGGAGCTGAGCAGAAGGTGACGCATTCATGGGGGGCATTCAAGGATATCGAAAGGGTAGAGAAAAAGACAAAGAGCATCCGGCTCCGCGCTCACCTTTTTGACACTGCTATCCTTCATGCTTTGACGTACGCCTCGGAGACACGGACTTAACGAAAACAGAATGAACATGCAGTCAGCATCGTGAAATGTGCGATGTTCGAAGTTTCTCTATAAACACAAGTGCAGAAGGAAATTCAGTGTCTCGAGCTCCGTCATCGAACGAAGATTAGGGATGCCGTTTATTACGCCTAGAAAATCAGATGGGCCGGGCACGTCATGCGGTGATGACAGTTGAACCAGGGCGGTTATGGACTGGACTGGAACACCACCGGGACGTCAGACAAACGGACAGCCGCCGGCGCGATGGTTAGACTACTTCGCGAATGCTCTGAACGAAAGGACTGCTACGCCTCGTGTCACTACAGCGGGGACGATACACTCGACACACTCTGGCTCACGACAGCGACGAATGAAGACGTTATCAACTCCTTTTCGAGGAAATTGATGATCAACGGGACAGTTGATGCAGGCTGGTAACCTAAGGTTCGTCTTTTACAATTACAGAACTTAAACCACGAGGTTCTGCACTGTGTTATTAAGCCAAAATGCAGAGCAGGTTGTACCATTTCCACGTAGTGGCATGGATATCTGCAGGCTTTGATGAGTTAGTTTCGAAGAATCGTCAAATTCCCCAGATTTTTGGCATTATGATTTTATTACAGAAAAGTTGGTGACTATCTGAGAAATTATACGACTTTCCTATGCTAGCGGATAAGGCAAGAGTTGAAAGTCGATCGCTAAGAAGTGGAAGCCAACTGCTATTGCGGGAAATCAATTCAATGACGGGATTTCATGAATCGGCGCTGCTGCGACCTCCTTTTCTATATATCCCCGCAAGAATAAGGTAATGAAAGTCGTAGAACAGCCGTAAGTTTATTCATAAGCGTTGAGGAACAATTGAGATTACTATAAGAAAAGGAGCAAAAAAAGTTTTATTAAGTCACCGGTACAAATTTCTTCGATTGAGGGGTTATTTTTTACAATTTCAAATGTGTTGGACGAATAACTTCAGTAAAATCAAAACCATACAAATGAGAAATGCAGCGGAAAAATCTCACAACACCGTAATCAATGTCCAAAGGCTTATTTCATAAAAGTGACGTATAAAAAGAAATCATCCTTTCTTACTATGTTGCATTAAAGTGAAGCCTTGATCAGTAGGTAATTACAACCAGAGAGTTCGACGTCCTAAACGGGAACAACGTTAACATCGGGATCCCCTTCCTATTAAGTGCAATGTGGAGACTCTTGAAAGGCATCGTAAAAAGCACCTCACTCAAACGTCCCTTAGTTGTATAGGTGTAGAATACAAGCTGATGGACAAATCGCGTCGCAAAATATGTACAAGCAGACTTACCAAGTTGTGATCCTTGATGAATGAGGTCTCGGCGTTCAAGGACTCCTGTGTAACATCGACAATGGTAATGTTCTTGAACCCACAAGTAGTCATTCGCTGGAAAAGATTTTCATGCTATACAAGGCTGAAGATTGAGTTCAAATAGAAGTTAGAAAGGAAGAGAGTGTCTCTCAACCTCCTACGCTACTCACCTGCCTAACGGACGTCTCGTCAATTTCGCTAACTGGTTCGAGGAGCACCACCTTCGCTTCTGGTTTCATAATGCTCTGAAGATGAAGGTGATTACTAGATTTCACTAAGTAAGTACACTTTTCTACTCGACTGACCGCAATACTCTTGATGCTCTCATCATCACAAGTCGCAAGAAGTTCAGTTGCTACCATGCAGTCAAATGAAGCGTCCCTCTGATTCCAATAATCAATCGACGAAGACAACGAATCGTTCCAACCAAAGCTTAAAATGTTATATCAAACGGAACATTCATAAACTGATCAATGCCAACGAAAAGCGGCTTCAGAAGATCAACTTACCGGACTCGTTGGTCCTTCTGGTTGTTTGCCTTCGTCAGTGAGGTACGATACAAATACTCTTTTGTTTCAACATTCCATACATTGCATGTGAACTTCTGAAATTGAACTAAGTGGATAGGAAAGCTATGAGCTTCAAACTGCGGGCTTTTAAACCCCAGAGGTGCAGTCCCGAACGGTCTGACAGTGCAGAATGCCATATACGGCGCAAGTCATGTAGTTTCCTACGAAGGAAGGCCATTATTTGTAAACTACATTCCTCGAAGTTAAAAAGAATTTATATTATTTTTTTTTTCGTGCTAGACCCTCGTACCTACGGATAAGTTTCAACTTTTGAGGGTCAGACTATATGGAAATTCAACTGCTGCAACCTACCTCTGCTAGAAGGTGCGAATTGACATGCAAGAAGGGGGATCGTTGCCTCGGTGTGAAGACATAGGCGGTACTGTTCTTCGGCACCACTTCATCATCGATCGCATTCGAGAATATCTGAACAATTGGTGATGCATACAGCAAAATCCGCAAGTTTCGCAGCAATCATTCCCATTCATATTATGTATTTCTTTATTACAGTTAGTCGCTCAAATCAGGCGCGCTAACCTTATCAGTCCAACTGTATTTCTCATTGTCTAGTTTTTCATCCCACTTCTTTTGTTCGGCTGGCCAGATCTGGCTGAAAAAACTTCAATTACAACTGCATTATCTGGTCACGAACAAAATATTAATTATGCATTATTTTTCCAAACCAGGTATACGTACTATTATGATTATGTGTGTAAGGCTGATGCAGTTTGGAAAAGTTCGTACTTGGTTTTTTCGTTCACTTCACTACGCTCAAAGAGCATGCTGATAGAAGTGGGAAAATTCGCGGTGAGCTGCAGTTAAACCTGACCTACTAGGTAACCATCACCGTCACCAAACAAAGAGGAGAAATCCTCTATTCTTTCATGTACTTATTCCCCAACCGACAATTCGAGCTTTACCATTCAGGGCTTGGAATTGAGCTATTACTCATCACAGAGAGCTTTTATAACTTCACATAAAGGGGAACTGTACCGAACCTGAACAAGTTGAGCAAATCGTCGACTGAAGTCTCTTCGTCGCCAACTGCCGGTACCTTCTTCGTTAACCAATGCACTTGACGCCAGTTATTGCACCTCTGATATATTAGATAGTAATTTACTTTAGCATCGATAGAATTTTTGTAATATCTACCAGCCTTATTTCGTTACTCACTTCACTGCCTCTTTGTCGGCCTGTCACCTAGCCTGTTTGCATATCGTAAGTCTGCCTATGTCTTCCGTTCCGAAAACTTCCTTTCTAACGCAAATGGTACACGTAAGCAAAACTCTTTGCAGGTGTTGTAACAACATACAAGAGGAAGCTCAAAAGGTGGGCTGGTGTGATGTTCTTAGATCATAACATAGGTGTACACATCGACTTGGTGATTATGATCAATCGATGGCGTGATCGAGCAAGAGACCATCAATGAACTCTCTTTTGCACTATAGCAACAATATAAATTGATTAGAGATACAAGTAATAGAGTGAGTAGTCAGAGCAGGGCTGTCAATGGATGTCGACAGCACATATTTGAAGGTACGGTTCAAGACAAAGATGGTTCTCGAAATATTCTACAGTATGAATCCAGGGCCCGACCGTACAGCATATGTGGCACTGTCAGATCGAAAAACGGAATAGTTGGGACAATGTAATGATCCAAGGATTGTACTGGCCGTATGCCACACCCAAAGGCGGACGAGTTTCAACGGCGTTCCGGAGGCTACACCATACCAAAGACACTATTCAATACATCACGATCAACTATTCCTCCACCACTTCTGCTTTTTAACTCACAATTGGAGAGCTTGAAAATTATTGTCAATTGTGTGTTTAAGCACTGTAATACCGGGTCGATAACAATAAGTAAATGCCTTCTATTGTTTATACGGCCCTGCGACTTATGAACTACCAGCATAATTACGTGATGCATCTTCGAATCATAAGTATAACATTGGACAGTCTCATTCACTCATCTGATCCCGATCGTGTAGAACATTGATGTAGAAATGTAATTCACTAAGTGTTTCATAAACATTGTACAGGATTTCGGCTTCCGAAAATTAATTTGCACGTGCGGATGATTGACAATGCCACGATGGTGATAATAATAACATTTGCCTAATTATGAAATTATGTCTGAAGAAACATCGATAAGCTGAACCAATTCACCTACCCGTATGTAGGTAGGCACCGAACAGCTCCACTGCACATCAAATTTCCACATTTTTCCATCACTGTCCCGGTATCGGATTGCTCGAAGAAGCTTTACAAATAGAGATTATTGACTTGGCAACATGTTCGAGCACTGGCTTAACTAAAAAGCAGATCAGACGTTTAGGTATCACCTTAATATACAGCGACGAGAAACGATAATGTGTTGGGTTGGCATCAACTGCTGAGTGCATAGTGGCGGTCTTCAGACGGCCTGAAAATGTTCACTATGGCGGAAAAGAGGTTCAGCGCCGTCTTTCTACTGCTAACTACACTCGCACCTTGTCCAAGAATGGTATTCATCTCTTAGACGGTATAAAAGTGATCGGGCTGAGGTGGTGTAGTTTCAAGGATGTATTGCCGCATGATCACGGGTTCAGATCCCGGATCGATATCCCTCAGGTCAACCTAGCCTGCATACTTCCGAGTTCGGTTAATTGGTGTTAAACTCGTCTGGGAGGAAAAACACCACATCGGCTGGTCACCGCAATTCAATGTGTAGGCCACATACACATCATTCCTTCACTGCGATTTTGAATGGAAGTAGATTGCGAGGACTCATCCCACGAGTGGACTGATGTACGCCCATAGACTTCATCCTTTTTAGACTTTATCTAACAATAAGTGATCTCGATACTCATACACGCTCACAACTCGTGAATCAAAAAACTCAAAAATCTGAAGTTTTTGACGACAATCAAAACGACCCTTTTTCCAGATGAGCCCCACACTACTACTAATCAAAATGTAATGACGTTTCGGCTACGTATGTGGTTTATACAATGACTTGACAATAAAAATAAAGACTTGTGGCCATGGTCAGCCAGGCCATGGCCACAAGTCCTTATTTTTATTGTCCATCAAGCTCTTGTGGCAATTAATCGCGCCGAAGGGATGGAAGTTTTGATTCACCTAGACGGGTATTGACCCGGGATTCGATACACGGTCAATAAGGCTAATATATGTACAAAGTAAATCTAACCCGTGCTCGGCTCGGAGCAGCTTTCTCTGAGATGAATGTATCCGTCCGCTCTCAACCACCGCATAGCATTCAGCAGAAATTCAATGACTTCACGATCGGAAAGATACATCATCAGCCAATTCGTAAAAACGAGATCCACGCTGTAACTCAATAGTCATAGAGATCATATTGCAGGGAAATGGAAAGAGGGGTAGACAAGTGGAGAGACATCCACAGCAATGCACCTTTTCTCGTCCATTTGCAAATGGACTGCATCACCTATCTGATAGCTGATGTTACCCATGTGAGCATTTCGTTCTTGGTTTTTTTCGATGAACGATTCGATGAAATCCGTCGAAAGAACCCATCGAGCTGTCTCTGCTAGTACGGTAGTAAAACGCCTGAAAGACTTCTTCAATGCACATGGAAAATAAATAGGAACCCTGGTCAGGCCACACATTTGTGTCTAACTTTGTTGATAAATATTACATATCTTTCACTGGAGACTTTACTCACCTACTACACTATCTTGTCTAGTCAACCAACCCGTCAACAGTTCCGGTAAAGATGGCATGACTAGGAGGAATTAGGAACCACGAACAATGGACTAAGAAAATTATATCCAAAACCATTGGTAGGGAAAAATTGTTTTTGCAGTTTTCCCGGGGGCAGCCGTGATAAATTCTTGTTATCACCAAGTCGAAAGGTTAGGCAATGGAGGTTCTTCATTCCTTGGCGCATTCTTGGCGTCGAAAGAGATATTGGGTTGTAACATAAGTTCGTAGAGTTTTGTGTTAGAGTCATTTTACAACGGTTTGCTTTGTTTTTTCGCAAAGTGTATATACTCATTCGAAAGAGCTCTTTCTCCTCTATAAAACAGCTTTATTCGTTTTTTTGGATAGTCTAGTTGTACGTCTTTTTTCTTGCTCAGAATTTGAATATCCACGAGGAGAAAATCAGCATTTTCGACATCTGCTTTTCATCGAGGTTAATATGCAGCCGAAGCCGCTCAGGACATATGCAGTGGGTACGAGGAAGGTGTCTTAGGTGCATCTCTGGGGGGCCCCAGGAGAGATACCGAAGCCGAGAGTCAAGCAAGACCTTCACTCAAAAAAGGTCATGATTTGCGTTTGGTGAGACTAGAAAGGCATGGTGCACTGGGAAATGTTCGAACGAAACGCTACTGACAACAAGGAGGTCTACATTGCCCAGCTGAACCGTGTTAGTGAGGCTAATCGGCCGAAAAGACCCGATAGAGAAGGTCAAGTCATCTTGCTCCACGACAACGCCAGGCCCCATAGTGCCCAAGTCGTCAAAACAGCATTCCAAAAGCTTGAATGAGAGGTTCTTCAGCATCCACCGTACCCTCCGGATCTTGCACCTACCGACTACCACCTTTCCGCTCTCTGTCAAACCAAATGAGGAGTGTTACCTTCGATGGCGAAAAGGTTCTTGAAAATTGGCTCAACAACTTCTTCGACACGAGACCGGCCATTTTTTGGCGAAACGACATCAACAAATTGGTCGAGAGATTGGAGGAGGTTGCAAACAGTAATATGAGGATACATCACTGATTAATTTATTGTTATAATTATTATTTTTTGTGAAAAGAAACCTTTGTGAAAAAACTCTACGAACTTATGTTACAACCCAATAGAACTGAAGAGAGTCTCAAGGTTGCAGATCTGTGGAATGAAAGAATTGACGCTGAACAGTGTGCGCGCAATAGTCCTTAAGAACCCCATTTTTAGCATTTCACAGGCACCGCGAGAGACGGTTTCCGACAAACCTGCCTTCGCTACTTGTAAGTAGGACGAGAACAGTGTGAGGGAAAGGGTATAGTATTACCAAAATAACACCATTATCCACCTACGTTTCTAGGAGGCCGTTTGACTAGTCAATCGTCAACTATGAGTGACAACAGATCTGAGCATTTTATTTTCATCTTATTCTTAGGGAGCCCTGAACCCTTATTACGTTCTTTCTGGGCAGCTTTTCAACGTGATAACGCCATCGATTATCTCCTATGGTTGACCAAAATTGCTTCGCCCGCCATATTAGGTTGGTCGATATGAGGTCGCTCATACACATTCAGCAACTATTGTTTCAGTAGAACCTCTCCCACAATGGCAACGAAAACCCCTACGACAGAGCACGTCCTGGCGCATGCTACGATTTATTACCTAACAGTGAGCGATAGGTTATCAAGCCGAACATTCCATTCGAGATGTTCGATCAGAAACAGCGTTTGCACGTAGCAGCTGAATGTCAAACACAGAGCGAAGCTGCCAGCATTGTCGTACCATACTTGAGGCAATGCTATGGCATAAGCTCTCAATAACGCCAATGGGACGAAATTGAGAACGTTGGGACGTAGATTAGGGCACCCATTTAAGTTGTGGGTAATGAAGGATTACGGCATCCATCAAGCCATGCCAGGTTACCAGAGAGCTTGCATAGAGGTTCGAATACTTTTGAAGCACCATCAAGAACCATTTGTACACACTCAGAAAGTTTTACCAGTGAGATATAAGAGTTCCCCATCAATTGAGTGATGCTAACAACGCAGTGCTCGTTACCACTACCGAAATTCTACCTCGCAGCTTCAAGAACAAAAGATCGTTTGACTCCAATGTGACCTTGGGTGAAAGACGGATATTCTTCGGTAACACAGTGAAAAAAAAAACGGCAATGACCATCACCCGGTGAACCACCTATGCCGATTCCGAAACTAGACATTTGCGGGAAAAAGGTGATGCTGTTTGTGATGGAAGATTGTCCTATAGCCGTAATTCGAAGTGATGAACGTGGCTCACTTCGTCTACGTTGCACAATACGAAATCGGGCCGGGAAATCCCGCCTCATGCGCCAAAAGAGTACGACTTAATAAGGTTAGCCCAGCGATTCCTAGGTAGGAAAATGTCGAAGAATCTGGACGATGTGAAGGTTTGAGTGTTCAGCTTCTTCGATGTTGCAGCCAAGAGAGTTTTTCAGGGAGGGTATCCATCGTTCACACAACAGATATAGAGATGTCACCGATCTGGGTCAAACATATATTCGGAGTCGGTCGCTTTATTGATCTTTTTATAACAAAAACAATTGATGACAAAAAACGACTTTTCATATTTTCTTCCACGTAGAACGTCAACGTCTGAGCTTATTTGAGAGCAAAAAAAGGTTCCCGAATGATGCTCTCGTACTACAGCACCACTGCATTAGGGGAACAAACGAGCAAACAAATAAATAAGTCTAAATGCTTCGCAAAAGTCTTCTTCGCATTACTAGTCAGGATTGGCGTACTAGCTGCTGCGATACTACTAGCTGAACGTCAAGCAACCGGTACTCAAACCCGAATCGCTGAGTTTCGCTCTACACATCCCATAATATTTCCATTATGCAAGACCTTTTTGGCACAACATCCCTACCAAACGCGAGGGCACTTCTAGTGTCCTTCTTGCTTCTTTTCTGTCCTTCTACAAGCTTAAGATATCATTTCCCCTGAATCAAAGGGTATTGGTACGACACAAATTAAACCAATGTATTCGTATATGACTCCCAGTTGCATTAAAACAACCATGGTGAGAAACAAATATAGGCCACAATAGCGATGGAGTTTAAAGATTGAAAAGAAAAGGAAGAGTACAATCCAAATAGAGTAATGAGGAAATCCCTACCCGATTCCAGCGCCAATATCGACCACGTCTTTGTTGGTTAGGTGAGGTAGGCTGGAGAGGATATCTGCTCTGAAAAAAACATGGTTCTATGTATACAAGACACTATGCATTTTGCCCCTTATATTTCCCTAATAACAATGGGCTTTAGGGATTATTTCTTCCTCGCACAATATCCTCAACTATCATATACGCTACTGACATCAACAAAGTGAGTTCACAGAGCGGTAACCTTGACTCGAACCGCGCCGCGACCGCAATCGTGTGTTGCACAAAATCGTGACCATTTAAAAATCAATATCGACAAGGAGGCAGGTAATGAAGCGAAATTCAAAAATAATTTTTTATAATACATAAGAAACTTTGAATACTATAACATTTAGACCTATCGCTAGCTTCAAGATCTTGTGCAGTCTGGTTGAGCATCATCGAGTTAGTGTCGGGTTTATCTGAGTACTTGTCCCAGAACGTTTTGAATGAATCCCTTCGCACTTCAGCCGTCATGCTCTGAAAAACTTTGGAGCTTGTTGGACCAGTGTTACAGGATAATGAGAAGAAATCAGACGAGAACCAATAGTAGGAATCTTGAAAACTTGAGGAGCTCGGAAATCANTCTGGTTGAGCATCATCGAGTTAGTGTCGGGTTTATCTGAGTACTTGTCCCAGAACGTTTTGAATGAATCCCTTCGCACTTCAGCCGTCATTGCTCTGGAAAACTTTAGAGTTTGTTGGACGAGTTTTACAGGATAATGAGAAGAAATCAGACGAGAACCAATAGTAGGAATCTTGAAAACTTGAGGAGCTCGGAAATCAGGGGAAGCGAACCCAACAAAAACCTGGCCATACATCTAAGATCCGCTAAGTGACAAAATGTTCGAGGAGATTATCAGATATGAAATGAACTACTATCTTCGAAGGCAAAAGGCACAGTTCACGACAATTTCGAGGTATATGGATATGTGAGTGAAATAATGGAAGCTAAGGTGCAGAATAGTGCACAAATGTAGAAGGAAACGGACTATAACAAATTTTTAGCGAAATTCTCGGATTTTAAAAAATATGAGGCTTGAAAATAGTAATCAGAAGTGGGTTGTGCGAGATTATGCGTCTGCAACCGTCTTGGTGTCTCACACATAAGCATACTATTACTCGACGGTCTGATCTTTTATTGTGCGTGGTGCAGCTTTAGGATGTCATCATAACACGGCGACTTTTGGGTGTGTGCGTCGGCCAAGCCAGTTTTGTAACCGTTAGAACGCCCTGTCGAGCTCCTTTTCGGCCCGACGATGTCACATGCGCTCCTTGGGGGCCACAGATTCGTCCTAGAAAGGAAATATAGAGACCTTGTTTTAATCGTGAACTGTGTCTTTCCCAAGTCATGGCCCCAACGCTCAACAGAAGTCGAACACGTTCGATTTACTGACAAATTTAAGGAGGAAGGAGTATCTGAGAATCGCAACAATACGTGGATGAATCAAGATCTTACTAAAGTAGAGAAAACTGAATCATACAAAAGGAGAAATAAATCCAGAGAACGAGATGGGTGACTGTCTCGAAAGCACATATTACACAGACTACACAAAAGGCAATAAATTTAGAAAAGAAGGATTCCAAATAATGCGAATTCCGATCGAATGAGCAATAATTACATTATAGATGTTGAGCCACAATTCCCCGCTCCCAAACAAACATCACGAAAAGAGTGAGTTGTTTATCCGTCAAGGCCTCTACTCAGCACTTTCGCTATCAAATAGTGACACTTCAGATAAACACAAAGCCGCGAATTTATCGCCGATCACAAACAACTTCTTTTCTTTCCCTTTTATCTCTTTTCCGCATTCAGTAACGACCAATTATTTTGGAATGTGTACCAATACATCATTTCGAAATCCTCAATGCACTCGAACAAGTCGGGCGACGTTCGAATCGGGGTTTCGATCTTTCCTTGCAAGTTTGCTAGCTTCAAAACGCACCCCGATCAGTTCATTTCATGCATGCTGTTTTGAGTTCCAAACTGCTGAATTGTGATGTGTCGCCATGAACAGTATGCCAGAAGAAGGTTGAAAACGAGGCTGATGATTAGCATTGGAAATTCAATAGTCATCCCTAGGCCAAGTGACCCTTGTGAAGCACTCGTAAAAGCAGTATAGCAGAAGGAGTCGGAACCATAGGCGGTTCAAGCAGCGTCATAGTCACAGCAGCCGCCACGATCATCTACACCATTCGGTATCATAACTACATTTGTGAAGAGCACAGCATATCATCAACAGACTGTTTCATTCACTTTGCTACATCAAATGCGGTTAACGCTCAAATGTAAAATCAATCAATAATGTTCTTAATCTAGCAGTTGTTATAACTCCCATTTATAAAGCAGTAAGTTGGTGTGTCGGTTTCTCCGTTCGCAAAGCTTCATGAATACGGTAAAGGTATTGAGATGGAAAGCCCAGCTCCCACATTTCCCTCTTGTATGAAGCGGTAATTTGGTCGAGGGACTTCAAGAGAAAAACAGGGGGAAAACTTTTGTCTGAGACTTTTCAGAATAAGGCTGAATTAATCAGGCGCCCGTTACTTATTTACCTCTACAGCTTGCCCATACTTGAGTGCGAACACCAGCAACAAACCAATCGTCACCATTAACGGTTGACTCGGAATGCGTAGAAGATGGTGACGTAGAGGTTCATGCATCTGCTTTACTTGATCGACCAGCATACACTCCCATCTTGCAGCAGTCCTTCCCTTAGGCCGTGAAAATCCTACATGGGCCCTCTCAGCCGCTCTTCTTGTTCATCTCGTGACATGATCGGGCCATCGAATTTTGACGTTTTTGCATTCCAACAGATCGCGAAGGCGAGGCATTCTGTGCTTATCGGTGCTGCGTATTTTGGGTGAGCTGGTAGAACCTCAAAAGAAATCGCTCGAGTGCTGTATAAAGTACGCTCGAATCCCCTTGACTTGGGGCTTCGAGCGACTTACATTCTGACTGACTTGCATTAGTCACCCGTGTAACAGACGTAGGGAGACCATCCGACGCGTAACAGAGTGAAGGGAGATCTGTGAAATAGAATAATTGAGCGGGTTGCTCCGGACAGACTGATCGTTGGTGATTTCTTCCAGAGGTCCGAAGGTCGCTCATCGTGCTTTCTGCCGTTTTACCAGTTCTTCATTCATACCGTTGTCCGTACTTATGGAACACTGATATAAACGCGAAGCATAAAGCCCTTTTCGTTATTCATTTGACTTCTTGATTTGACTTCTTGAAGAATCCAGTCGGCAGGCGCATTAACGGAACAGCTGGCGCAAACCAAATGATATTTGGTGGTTTATACACTGTTTTGCCGTACAGGTTTGTTATGATGAAACCGCTTTATTAGGTCGACGTTTCGAACAACTCGTCGTCTTCAAGGACCTGAAAGTAGTTCGGAGCTCCCGACCTGTGACTTATCCGACCAAGCGCCCAAACACGCTAGGCCAGTTGCAACAACTCCCAGAAACTTGAACATCAAAAGATTCCAGCGAAGAAACCAACCTTCTGCGGTTTCACCAGCGTCGCCGTCCCACTCCATGCCGTGAACAATAAGGGACTAATGAGACACCATCGACGATCGTGATATAAGAATAACGCGGTGATCTCAAAGCCCACAAAAGGGAATGAATGGCAGAAGTTCACTCGTTATGGCAATGCATTCGTTTCGGTTGTTCAGCTTAGGATTTCTTTCACGGATGTGCAACGCTTCCAATATCTCTCTGGCACCGATCTCATTCTCGTAGGCTAGGATTTTGCATTTATTATCAAAATCATCGCCCTGATGTTCTTCTAGTCGATGCCTCCTAAGCGGCGTGAGTAGGCTTCCACGCCTTTACCCGCTAGATGTTCTTTGACGCGTATGCTCCACATCCTTCCCGTCTCACCAATATATATCTCGTCACAAGCTGAACACTGAAGTTGATACACTGTTCCTCGTTGTGTGCAATCTCTATCTCTTCCAAAAAGACAAATAACGCAGTTATCCGTCGTGCACGTACGATCATAAAGCCTATTGCGGATTAGATGACGTTTGATATTGTTCGCTGGTAGGTTTATCAGGACAACATCCAAATCCGCTCGTGCAACGCATTGTCGGATTTCTGCGCTTACTTTGTCTGATATAAATGAAAGCCGGAGATGCACCATGTTCTCGCGGTTTTTCAGCGAGTACGCTTTCGAGCCTGATCTCCTGCGTTGTGTCCTGTAGCCACTTCACATACGCATGGTTGCGGGTTCGAATTCCGGATCGTTATCCACCTGGGCCAACCAAGCCATCTATCCCTCCGTAGGTAGGGTAACAGGTAGGTAAACATTATGTGGGATGCCCAGGTTTCAAGAAGACCGAACATGGAAACTAAAATATTTGGTGGATTCAGCTTCAAACCGACGTTCCCACAAAGGTTCCGAGTGCGCTCAGAAGACACTCCAACAAAACGAGAAGCGTGACAATAAGTCCGAGAAGGCAATTTACTGCCTCGAACTTCACCTCCATGTGATGTGATTTTAAATGACGCGTAAGTTTACGAGAGCGAGTTCGAAAACAATGGTCGTAAAGGTACCGCTGAGTCGGACCCCTAACTTATTGTCGATGATGACCTCCTTATGATGGAACAGTGAATCTCTCTGATCATAGTCTTTTTTGAATCCACAGGTATCCCTTGGTGATCTTTGTGGTTGCTTGTGGGCCAAACCTAGATGCCTCGATAGAGTGGAAGTTCTTTTTCGAATCGCAATCAGATGGTGACAGCTAGCGGACTGAGTTGTGAATGTTTAACAAAGAAAACATTAGTGCCCATAACTCTCTTTTTAGACATGGACGCATATTACTGTTTTCTAGGAAACAGTACTAAACGTTGGCGGAGGTGGTGTAGTGCAAGCGGCACACTTCACACACGCATGGTTGCGGGTTCGAATTCCGGATCGTTATCCACCTAGGCCAACCAAGCCATCCATCCCTCCGGAATCGGCTAGTTAGTATCGCACTCGTCTGGGAGGATAAAAGCACTGACGATTCTGAATTGAAGTGGAATGTTTTGGGCGCATCCCTCAGAAGGGATCGATAAACGCCCCAGAACTTTATCCTTTTTAATGCTCAACACAATACCAACAAGGAAAAGTGCTCACCATTCTTAACCATCCCCTATTACCCCCTTCCTTCAACTTTCTCACCTTGAGAAGATTAAGAAAGTCCTCGTCGAAGCCAAGTAATGGCAGAACATGTCAAAGTAGAATAAAGTGGAGACTGCTGACAGGAACAGCGGACCCTGCGGCTGTGCGGGAGCAACTCAGAGGAGGAGAAGATGAGATACCGTACAAGCGCGGAGTTCATCAAGGAAAAGGGAAATAAAAAAATGTAAAAAATAAAAAAAAGGAGCATCATCTTAGAAAAGTATTATGGCCACNCCAGAATAAGAAGGCGCATCCACCCCCGAGAACCTTTAGCTATGTAGAATAGAACTCCGTTGTTCTGTTCGCAGTGGAATTTCATTTCATTTCATCTATTCTTAAGGCTCGTGTCTAAAAGAAACACCGAATGCTGCGACTAAAATCCGATTTTCAATGCAAAAGAGTTGAACCGTTTCGTTGAAATTCGGAACTGCCGCTGTGTTTAAGTGAAAGCGAATTCTCGTGAATTAAGAACACAACTAACACCATAGCCCTCGTTGATGTAGAGTATCATGGGGCCTTGAATACTTGAAGGAGGGCTAATAACAACTTATAAGAGCTGGTCAGAAGTTGAAAGGCAAAAGGATCTGACAACGCGTCGGATTGATAGTGGAAGCATGATAGTTTGAAGAATGATTGTGGATTCGACAGAAT